GTCTTAATGTCTCACCAGGCTATGAATATCTCCACGGGAGAAAACTTCGCGGAGATTTCTGGCCACTCCTTCGTCATCCACTGCTGGATGTCCTGGCTGCCGACAGCTTCGCTTTCGCCAGAAATGGTTTTTCTAAAAATGTTGTAGCGCTATCTAAATCGGTGAAGTCACCCGGTGTTGCTGGCAAAGTAGTTGCCACTAGACCGAGTGTAGCGGCTAACATTTGGTTTTGGCCATCCGCATCAGGCCATCCATGAGAATGTTCTTCGCGTGCACTCCTAAAAACCAGGCATGGAGAGCCTTTTCTGCATTCCCGTATGCAGGAGCGTGCACATAAGAGGCTTCGCCGCCTTTAAGTGCCTTGATATCTGCTTTTTTTCTTCGACAAGGTACTCTGAAGTCGGTATTCCGAAGTTGTCCGCGACGATCGAATATTTTTCGCCCACCTCAACACGCTGAACAGCATTCAACTTCGTCATAAAGTGAAGGGTCTTGCGCTTCTTGACGCTGGCCATATACACGAGAACTTGACAATTGAGAAATCTGCAGCAGTTTTGCATACCACACACGCAAAAGAGAAATGCTGCACATTCGGTACTATCGTAGGCGGCGCGTCAACGGAAGCAAAACAGCAAAAGGCGCGAGCTGTGGTTGGCTGATCAAAAGTCGCAAAACAGCAACAAAAAAAAAAAAAGCGAAAGGCGAAAGACGTGAGCTCCTTCGTTCCTGTTCTCCGTGCCGACGAGCAAGCAGAGAAAGCATGAAAAAGATGAATGAAAAAAAAAAAGCCCTTTCCGCAGGAGAGACAGTGCAGTCCAAGCCCCCCTCTCACCCTTTCTTTTTTCCAAGCGTTTTGGGTTTTGGCGGAAGCGTGGTGCCAGGTGAAGGTCGCCGGGTGGTGCTACCGTAGGCGGCGCGACAACGGAAGCAAAACAGCAAAAGGCGCGAGCTGTAGTTGGCTGATCAAAACTCGCAAAACAGCAACAAAAAAAAAGCTAAAGGCGGAACACGTCAGCTCCTTCGTTCCTGCTCTCCGAGCCGAGTAAGCAGAGAAAGCATGAGAAAGAGAAACGAAAAAAAAAAAAAACCGTTCCGCAGGTTGAAGATTGTGCAGTCCAAGCCCTCTCGCCCTTACTTTTTTTCGAGCGTTTCGGGTTTTGGCGGAAGCGTGGTGCCATGCGAAGGTCGCCTGGTGGTGCGAGTGCCAAAGCACATCTTCCAACTTGCGCGTGGAGCCGCGCTGCCGGGATTTTGAATATCGGGGCACAGCGAATGCCGAAGCGCACCTCCAGCTCGCGCGGCGTTCGATATATCTGAAGGCGGCTAAAAATACCGTTCGAAATGAACCAACAAATTCCCATACTTTTACAAAGAAATTTCAAGGTGATAACTTGCTAGTTCGATATACCCAAAAATTCGATATATTTGGGTTCGATATAACCGTGTTCGACTGTATGTATCGATAGAATTCAAATACATCAAGCACGTCAAATATTTAAGACTTTTGAAGGCATTCAAGATGCTATTGATTCCAGGGTATTCAGCGGCTTCAAGGAGTACTACGAACCCTGACTGCTGTTTTTTTCCACAAGGTTCCTCTAGATCTATGAAATCAGTTTCTCATATACAGCCAGATATTAGTGTCTCACAAAGAAAAAGTAGCTAGCTTTTTTAAACACGATAGTGTTTCTTGGGGACCTTCGATGCAACAATTTTGGTCTGTCTGTCCACTTGTCTGTTTGTCCACCCTTTATACCGGGTTCTTTAAATGGCACCAGCCGATACCCGAAACGGCCGACCCCATCCGCAGCGACCACCAATGTTGCTCAAGATTCAGCGTTCATATCTGTGCGATTGTCAATTAAAAAGCAATTATTGCGCATATCTTAGGCACTATAACACCACATATATATTCTGTATGTGCGTCTTTTACTAGAAAAGGCATACATAAGTAATTCTAAGGACCGTAGCGTTTATCACGCTGCACTTATCATGCAACGCTTGCACGAAAAGGCAAGTGTGTCCAACACTTTGCTAAGATGACACGGTGGTGGCACTTACCCGTTGCCTGGCGTTCTACATCTTATCACCTTACAGATGGGTGCGCACACCCGTCTCAAAACCACATGCTTTTTTTTCCAAGATAACTGCCAGACAGCGCTCATATCTCACGTGTGACGTGACTTGATGCACTCGTTTGCCTCCGCTGCACGCTTGAGGCACTCTAAAGCAGCGCCTGCAGAATACCATTCACCGATTTTCTTGCGCAGAACATCAAATAAACGTTTTGTTCACTCTCTCCAGACGCAAGGCTATCGTCTTTCGACGACATTTGCAGATTAACATGCAGATACGGGGCCTTTTTTTTGAAAATGTTTCTCACAAATTGTTTCTGGCCTGGAAAAATTTCCTTTGGAAGCACGAGTGTCTAGCGAAGGTGCTTTAGGAACTCAGTGTTGTCAGTTACACTAATAGTAAGCGTGTTGATTCTATTATAAAAAAATTATTGCACATAGAGAATGGTTAGTAGTAACTATTCTTTGATTTGAAAAGCATCTTCTGCAAGCCACCATCACTCTCTTCAAGCTGAACAGACAACTTGATTGCTGTGCACCCTTGGTGCTGCCTGCAAGATGATGACATCTGTTGAATGTGACTAATAGTGTACAACACTGGTCAAAAGTTCACAGGGCTCGCTTCCATAGCAATACATGGGATAGTGGCCTGTGAACTTTTGACCCCCCTGGACATGACGCGCCAAAATTTGGCAATAGCAGTGAACCATAGACAAGGTGGTGCCATCAAACCCTACAGCTTATCATAGCACCTGCTCTCTGAGCATGCACATTTAGTGCCTGACCACGTAAATCATCATGAAGCTTTCTTCCATAACATTTTACAACCAGGACATTTTGGTAAAATACTGCAGTCGTTCACTTTATAAACATTAGCTGTGATAGCCTTTCAGTAAATGTACTAGGGCATACAGACCATTTAGGTTTGCGAGCATGCAGTTGTCTGTATTCAGTTATTCCAGCGGCGCAGGCGGCGCCACGCGGCCCGCCTCCGAGGCTCGCACACGGTGATAACACTCTGCAACGCAGTTCAGTGTGGCTCGGGGTTCGGTCTCGCGGTAGTCATGGGCGCCCCATCACGCACTGAGATGCTGACGCATTGCGGCGGGTCCATGGGCACGCATTCCTCTGCGCCATACATTGTCGGGAATCACATATTTCGTAATAGAGTCGCTTTTTTCCTTACAGACAAGCGCTAACACAGGCGAGCACCGTCGCATCCAGATGATAGCATCAAGCCACAGGGGTGACCATTCTCCCTGAACGGGCGCTCGCAATAAAAAAACAAAAGTATCAAAAGGTGCCCTGGGTGTGACCTTACCCTCTAGCGCAGTGAAGAATACAAACAATTGTTTATATCTTACACCGTGCCCTCTACACATGTGACAGACTACCGCCCGCGCAGATCGAGAGAATCCGAGACATCGTAGTTGGGCGGGCCAACCTTTTCAGCAGATGAAGCGCCCAGACGAATTCCTTTTCCTATATAGCTGTTGCTGTGGTACGCACTATGCGCCGAACAATTATTTAACATATTCGCGAAACCAGGAAGGATCCAAGAGAGAGGGGGCAGGGCGAGTGGTGAACTTGACCAAGAAGTTTTGATATTCGAGCCGTTCGAGTGAATTGTGTAGTGCGGTCAGTCGATCTTGAAGAATCGAGTGACGACGCCGTTCGTGCACTGTTTTGAAAAGAGACGCCAGGACAACGATAAGCACTGGCGTTCGTGTGTTTCCTGTAACAGAAATACTTGAGAAATGTTCGGAGAATTTAGGGCTGCTGCCACGGTGGTCTAGTGGCTAAGGTACTCGGCTGTCTACCCGAAGGTCGCGGGAACGAATGTCGGCTGCGACGGCTGCATTTTTGATGGAGGCGAAAATGCTATAGGCCCGCGTGCTCAGATTTGGGTGCATGTTAAAGAACCCCAGGTGGTTGAAATTTCCAGAGCCCTCCACTACGGCGTCTCTTATAATTATATGGTGGTTTTGGGACGTTATACCCTACATAACAATCAATCAAATCAATGAGAATTGTGGGCTACGCACATGTGGTGAATATTTAAGGCCTCGAAGTGTTCTTTATTGTGCACCTAGATATGATTGCACAAGTGTTCTTGCATATTTCTCCCACCGAAATGTGGCTATTTAGAGTTAGTCGCTCAGTGCCTGTGTCATAACCTAATGTTATATAGAAGACAACGATGTCAAGGAAAGTATAGCGGATGTCATTTGTAGTGATGTAAATGTGAAGAAAGAAAAGCAGACGAAAAGATAACTTCCAGCTTGTAGAAACTGAACCTGCGTGTGTTCAGTTTCTACAGCCTTGCAGAGTTTCTGTACAGTCTGTGAGATATGTGATTGTAGTTGTACTGCAGTAAGTTTGTTTGCGTGTTTTTAAATACCCTTTAAGTGATGCTGTAAATTGTAATTGATACCTGCTAAGTGTGCAAGTTTGTGATACAGCACAGACCCAAGGTGAACTATTGGCCCGAGACACCGCTTCGGCGGCACGCAACAAGCCACACCTTTATTTTTATCCAGCGGCGGGGCAAATGATGTGACTGATCGCTTTGCCTTCATTCAAACATGTGTGCATTTCTTTAGCGAAAGAAAGTATGGTCTGCGGCGAAACTAGAGGGTCTGACGTCCTTTGCCGGTCCAGATGCGCACACTTGCGAGATGGCCTCATCACCGTCTCGTCCGCCACCTTGACCTACGATTGCGCGTCGCCTTTATAATCGCTAGAATGATCGAATATGCAATTGACCTGCACTTGAATTAAGGCTGTTGTTGCGTGGCACTACAATTAAACTTTTGGCACAAATATGTAATACTGTGGCACTGACAATTACTTTGTGCTGTTCAGGTCATTTTAGCCAGCACTTGGTTCAAAAGTGACAGGACAACCCACAGGCACACAGTCAAGAGCAACGAGAGAAAGAGGCATGCTAAATGCACGCCTTGAGGCTGTATTTCAGGTGACCAGAAGTACTTGCAATTTTGTGCAACCCATTTGAAGACACTGCAGGCAACAACAAGCATCAATCACCTCAGGGCGAACGTCCTCACTTCATACAAGCCTTTGGGAAAACGGTACTGCTTGCGGTCGGCAAGCACACGGGCACCAGCTTTCTCGAAGAGCTGCAAAAAGAGGTTGCGGGGACGTGTGATGCTTCCATCACGGTTGTCAACGTCAACACTGTCTTGCGTGATATTGTCCTTGATGACAAAAATGCCATTGTCTCGCAAGCCCTGGAGGCACCGCTGCACAAACAACACCAGGTCCACGTCAGTCAGATGTCCCGTCACCCACTGGCACCAGATCACATCGTAGTAGCCTTCCTCTGGAGCAAAGTCCTGCAGACCTGACACAAAGAAGAACTTTGCCATGGCGCCCAAGAAAATACTATTGGTGCACATCCTCAAGCACAGAGCTCGGTCTTGCCTCGTCTATCTTGACCCACGCATGCACATGAGGCTGTAAAAGCAAAGAACACAGCCTTACCTTGGCAGAAAAGGTTCTCCACACGCTCTGATCCATGGCCAATGTAAGTTCGCGCCTGGTCCAAAAAGGCCTGGTTCTGTTCTACCATGTCAACAGCGTCAAACAGTGGCAGTAGTAAGTGCTTGGTGATGCGGCCGATGCCAGCCCCGCAGTCGAGTGCACGCTGCCTTCCTAGAGGAGCCGCCTTGTCCTATAAGAGGGTTTACACCACGTCTGAAATAGCCCCTGGCATTATCAAGCATTTTAATGCTCTCATAAGTACATTCAATTCCTGTACAGAAGAGAGCAGCTCACATTTATTTGCACCTTTTACACGACTAGACTACCAGCCAAATTTGAGGAATAGCTACAGTAAAATGACAAATAACCCTGTATAATGCCAACATCTGACTCTAGGAGTCCATGGGAACGACCCGCAAAATTGTCTCCATGGGCCAACATCGTCAAGACATCGCTAACTACTACGCTGCAGGGACAAGTGGCCTTTATAGGAAGTGTGAGCATTCCCACAACACTTAACTACATATTGGCCACTAATTGTCCAGCTTTCCCTGATGCATGTGTCCCCTCTCTTCCCCTGAAATTTTCACCTTTTCATGTGTGTATACACACAGACAAATGCACGAAACAGTGGTTAAACACCCAAAAATACCATCCCTAGTGGTCAGTGATTCAACTGTACTGGTGCGTTTGCCATAAACCACTCCTCCATACGTTTCCAGTGCATATCCATAAATCCCCACATTGTGATGCGACAGTGGCCCACAGATGCCAGATCCTACTGAGCTAACAAGCAAATAATCATCACAAAAAAAGCCCCAAAATGAAAATTTATAAAATTTTGCCATCTCTGAAAACAACTATAATATTATTGAAAAATTAATGAGAACTAACAGACCATAATTCCAGTGAAAGTATGGGGGATGTTATGATATCATTTACATTACAATTACTTATATTATCAATTACATTAGAATTACTTATAATACTCATTAACATTAAACTACTTATAACAATCATTTATCTTACAATTACTTATAACATCTTCTATACTTTCCCTGGCATTATTGTCTGTTAGTTCTCATTAATAAAGTGTCCAACAAAAAAAACAAGTCCTTAAATTTACACTTTCCTTTATAATAAAAAAATGTTACACATACCGTATTTACTCACTCACATAATTCTCACCCCCCCTCCCCTGCATTGCCCAGCAAGAATACAATTTTTTTCCCCCTGAGTAATTATTACACCCCCGAAAAGTGCAGCAGTTATGTCATCTACTCCTTCCAACCACGGATGATATTGCACGGCATGCGGGCGCCATCTTTTAAGCATCATGCATATTATCAATAAAGGAACCACAATCTAATCCAAGCCAAAGTGGCAAGTTGCGTTAAAGTGGGTAAGTACTGTGGTGTCTCGAAATGACGAGAGAACGCCACGCTCTTGGAGAGAACGGACGCAACAAAGGTGGTCAGAACAAACCAAACGACACACATTTATTGAACTAATTTAGAACGACGATATCCTAAGCCGAATTACTATAACATCAATCGTGATCAACACGCTAGGACATCCTTACACAATAGTAAACCAACACTCAACAACATGACAAACTAGGCGGTGTCACTAACGCCTGACTCACAACGTGGGCCCACCGCAGACGGCCTGCAGTGCCGTGCACGGCAGACCCGCCGCTGGAGGCTACCATCTGCGCCACCGCCCCACGCAAAAAGACTCGCTTAACTCTCTCGCCCACCACCAAGGCTTGACCTCCGCCAGGGAGTCCCCGCCGGCGCTACCACTCCACCAACCATGATGATGATAGTGGTGATCACCGCTCGTGAACACGCCACCTATCGCTCAATAGTTGTCACCCCTGATATATGGCTTCTGTGCAAGACACGGTCGCCACGTGACGCGAACAACTTTACAGGAAGTGTCAGCACCCCCACATTTTTTTTAATCTTAATTCAAACCATATTCCGAAAAGATAAGAAATCCGCTACACAAGCTCTAACAAAAAAATGATAACACATGTCCCTACATAATGTCCGTGCACCACGACACTGCCACCGGTCGACACTGCTCCACTGCCCAATTCGACGACTTCACCTCAGTACTAGTACCGCAACAGCAACACTGCCGTCGGCGTGACGAACCGTCACTCGCGCCGACACGTCTTCCGGTTGCAACCAGCACTCACGAGGACGCCGGACTGCAGGCAGTTGCGAAGGTCCCAGGCATCTCCATCGCCCGACCTCACGACCGCATTCCTTGCCAGCGGCATTGATGATGTGCAGAAGACAGCCAGCCGCAGGTTACATCACTCCGGCTGCGTACGTTCCAAAACACTCGAAAGAACAATGCAGCAGGCCAAAGGGAAGGAAGCTTCGGGCTCCTCGCCCACGTGGTACGATGGTCAGTACTGCTAGCTAATACATCGGGGACTGCCGAGACTCCCATCTAAAAAAACAAAAATCACTTTTTCTAACTCGTGCATCGCAATATTAAAAAAGAAGTGAGGGAAACAGAGTGCAACACCTCAATGCCACGATCCACCTAGTTGTGCCACGTGCGACAGGCGGCTGCGCAGAGCCCTTAGGCCTAATGAGTCGCTCGACAACAACCGGCATCCACTCGGCACCCAGCCTAGGCGTAGAAGAGGCAGCCGCAAGGAGACACCCACTCTGTAAGGTGGCCCATCGCTCGCCGCACACAGCAGCTTACCGAGCGATTGGCGTCCACCGTCCCGGACGGTGTCACGACGCCGGCAATACCAGACAGCAACGACGCCTGGCTCCCTGAGCCCAACAGAGATAGAAGAAGCTATTTACAGCAAATCAGACCACCCAAGAGGCTTCCGTACTCACTTGCTTCGGGCCTCGCCTACAATCCACATGCTCTAAGATTTGCTCACCCCAGGATGCAGACCGCATGGCTCTCATCCCAACAGAACAACATTTTTGAAAACTAACAACAGAAAAAAGCACTTGCGGGCAGAAAAAAAATGAAAACTCAACGTGCGGACAAGTTCAAAGATGTCACAACAACCGATCTCCTCGCTCTCAACAAAGCACACTGCCGACTCTAGCAAAGAAGTCCCCCTAGGCTTACTCTACCCCGGCTCTAACAAAAGCTTGTACTGAACCGCAAAAACTGTCGTCTGATGCTCCAAAAGCCACGGTGCCAGTGTGGGAGTCTCGAATTGGCGAGCGAGAGCACCATGCTCTTAGATGAATGGACACAGTCGACGCAATCGGAACAAACTAAACAATACACATTTATTTCACTGCTTTAGAATGACGATATTGTAAGCTGAATTATTATAACATCAACCGTGATCAACATGCTAGGACATTTTTACACAATATTAAACTACACCCAACAACATGACAAGACGGTGTCGCGAACGCCTGACTCAGCACGTAGGCCCACCGCAGACGGCCCGTGGTGCCGACCACGGCAGACCCACCGCTGGAGGCTACCGTCCACGCCACCGCCCCATGCCAAAAGAGACTCGCTTAACTCTCTCGCCCGCCACCAAGGCTTGCCCTCTGCCAGGGGTCACCACCGGCATTACCGCTCTATCAACCATGATGATGATAGTGGTGACCACCGCTTGCAAACACACCACTTATCGCTCAATAGTAGTCACCCCTGAAATACGGCTTCTTTACGAGACACGTGTGCGACGCGGCGCAAACAACTTTACAGTGTGTGTCAGCACCCCTGCAGTATATATTGTGTCTATTCGGTGGTTACTTTATGGGGCAATACAGAATGGAGTTACACAGCTGATTTCAAGTTGCAAGAAATTGGTCATATTGTGGCCACTTCATTTTATTTTTCGCACTGTACTTTTTTTCTCAGAAAATTCATCCCAGATAATTCCTCCCCCCCCAATCTTTCATTGGTATTCGACAAGAAAAATTAAGAGGGATTATGTGAGTTACTACGGTATTTATTTTTCACATATTGTCTCTATTTGAATGCGCGTTTGACAGTACATAATTAGCATTCCTTTTGAGTCTACCAGCTGCTGGAAATTTATTTATCAAACCGTTGATACATCATGACACAAGACAGTTATTATCTATAAATATTGCAAGGCTTCTTAATGTTGCTACAAAACAGGGCAGTCACGTCACATTCCACTGGATACTTGCACACTGTGACGTTATGGGGAGTGAAGAGGCCGATGCTGAGGCTAAAATAGCTCTAAATAATTCCCTAGAAATGTGAATTGAGAATTCCTGATCAGACACTAATGCCTTGCCTTGACATGTAATGCATACCTGCACATTAGAACACTATGACAAACAAGAATGACAGTACCGGCGACTGCGTGAATGAAGCAGACTTGCAACTTGAGTATAAGTAAAAAAAAATCACACACTGAAAACTTCGACTTCCACATATGAAATCTCAGATGTTTTTGACTACAGAGTTTTTGGCAGTGTGATATGAGTCAAATTTTTCAAGCATTATTAAAAATCAGCAGCTCACATACATGCTGGTTCTTTTAGCTGCACACATGTTGGGTTGCACAAAAAAGAAGCAGCAGTGCGTGTGGTTGTGGGAAAAAAGCAAATCACTCTCTTTGAACCAAACGACTTTGGGAAGGGCATCAGCCGCGTTAAGCTGTATGCAGACTACAATTAAAATGCGATCTGGTATTGTGCTTTTAATAAACCTTTGAGGGTTTTTTTTTTTGTCAAATGCATCCCGCCAGTACATTTTATTTATTGCTGAATTCAATTTTTCAGACCAATCTATTTGCAGGAGTACTAATACGATTTTGAGCAGCCCAAGAGAGACCTTTCCAGAGCGTGCACTATCACTGCTCTTCGTCACCCAGAATCTGCAAGCCAGCCTCACCCCAATGGACATTATCATGGCCAGTCAACACAGTTCACTGGGCTTACAAAGCCTGCATACTGCATACGGTCTCCATCGCAGATTTTGCAGAGTCTCTGCACAGCAACTTATTATTGTCCTTTACGTGAACCACGTGCGACTGAGTTAGTGCTCGTATTTCGCGTGTTGCAGTCTTCTCGTGACATCACACATGCGCTGACACAACACTGCGAAGCCGCTCTTTGAAACCTAAAGTGTCTTTTTAAAGGCAACACTTTTTGAGCATAATAATAAAAGACTGCTAATAGGTAGTCAAGGCTCCCTAGAACA